CCTATTTCTGAACCCTGACTGAATCAAACTGCCTTCACTCTGCACAAACAGGATGTCTCCAGACTAAAGTCCTCACACAGATGTACACACTCCTGTCACATGTTGTTGAAGCCTTACTGAGGAAATGCTTGTACTGTTGGGGAGTGTCTGGAGGGAGTTCTTTCTCTGCTGGCCTCTCATGGCCTATTACTTTTTCACCACATGCCAGAAATCCGGGTGTTTTAAGTTAGAGCATCAAGTCTTTTATGTAACAAACAAACAAACAAAAAAGAGCTCTGAGTAAATCCCTGAAAAACAGAGCTACTTAAATTTGATAAAGCACATGAACAGACTGTGACTGTGTTCACGTTGGTTTTGTTTTGACCTCCAGCTGCTGGACAGAGATGGCGGTCACCAAGACGACTCTGAATCTCCACATGCCAGGAGCCCGCTGCACCTCGCTGTCAGTATTAAACGGATAAAAGGATTTGTAGTAGGTTATCCTATTTTTTTTTTTTTAATTTACATTTTTAAACAGTAATTTCTCTCTTCAGGCGTACCATGGCCATGCTCAGGCCCTGGAGGTGCTGCTGCAGGGGGAGAGAGAGGTAGACCAGGGGGACGAGATGGGGAGGACAGCTCTGGCGCTGGCTGCTCTCCGTGGTCACTCTGACTGCGTTCACACCCTCCTCAGCCAGGGAGCATCGCCACGCACTACTGATAAGCAGTATGGACGCACCCCGGTGCACCTTGCAGGTGAGCTTAGAGACATGGAAGCATGCAATTTGGCAATTTGTAGAAAAACAGGAAACAGAAATAAAATAGCTGGTCTGGGAGACTGAATTTTCAAAACAAGAGCATGGATGTTGTTATTTTGTTCCAAAATAAATCAAAAATATAATTTCTATATGTGAAAAATTGTAGTGGAATCAGCATATGGTCGGTGTATATAACACTTTAATCCCTCTGCCAAAGCTTTTTTAAACACTGGTTGATGTGGACTGTGAAACTACAGCTGATTACCAAACCCTGGGATGGTTGTTTATTTAGATGGAAATCCAAGTATAAGATGTGTTATTTATGTGGAAAATCTTTACACTAAACATCAGCATTGGGTCTCTTATGTCTGAAATTGCTTTGGCCTCTTCCTCCAGCCTTAACTCATTACTTCAGAATCATAGGAAACACTTGTTTTTTGTGCACCTCTGGGCAGGATTCTTGCCCTTTCTTTCTTGTGTATCAAAGGTCGTCTTAGTTATTCTGTCCTCTTATTCCAGCAATGTGAGCATCATTTGAACATACTTGAGATGCCTAACCTTTGGACTGAATGTAGCTCTCTGTAGCTTCAGATATCTGCAGTCTTAGAATGGAAGAGTCCTTATTGTTCATTTGAAGCACATGTATGTGCCGCTCACGAGCCTGGGTTGCCTATAACTACACTTCAGATGAACTAAATTTAGAGTTTGTTCCCCATGTGGCTGAAAAAACAGGTGGTTAAATACTTTTTTTCTACTGTGGTGACAGAAGTCATCACAACCTTTGTGCCGCAGAGCTGATTTGTACGTTTGTGACACCTTTTGTTTCGTTCTCTTTGCAGTGATGAATGGTCATACTACGTGTGTGCGCCTCCTGCTGGATGAATCGGATAATTCAGACCTCGTGGATGTTGCTGACTCTCAGGGACAGTGAGTGACCCTCGCTCCCGCCCCCACACATCCTGTTTGCTTCGTGCGATTTGTCCCTTTCCGTTTTCCCTCTTAAATATGTCGTCCTCGTCTGCAGGACTCCTCTGATGCTCGCGGTGGCCGGAGGTCACGTCGACGCCGTGTCGCTGCTGCTGGAAAGGGAAGCCAATGTCAATGTGGCCGATAACCACGGCCTCACAGCGCTGCACCTTGGGGTGAGCGCGGAACTTGTGTTTGTGTGGATTTAGTGCAGTCTTTATTTATAATTTCTTTCATTTGTGACAAGAAAGAAGCAATAAGTTTTATATTAGAACCTATTAGACTGATGACTCCCATTAACATTTTTAGGAGGGACCTTCTTGGAAATGTGCTTTATTCATTAGAAGACTTGTAAAAAGAGACAAACAGGAAATGTTCTTTCAGATTTGTATTATAGATTCTTATATAGCTTCTGCTCTGTTGTCCCAGCTGCTGTGTGGTCAGGAGGAGTGCATCCAGTGTCTGCTGGAGCAGGAGGCTTCGGTTTTGCTTGGCGACTCGCGCGGTCGTACAGCCATCCACTTGGCCGCTGCCCGAGGCCACGCTTCCTGGCTGAGTGAGCTGTTGAGCATCGCCTGCTCTGAGGCGCCATCCTTGCCCCCGCTGAGAGACCACAGCGGGTACACACCGCTGCACTGGGCCTGTTATTATGGTTCGTGGAACCTGCAGACACGTTTTTAAATTTAAAAAAAAAAAGTAAATTCAGTTCAATCCTTTGTGAGCAGCACTTGGTGATAGTGGGGAGGAAGAACTCCCATTTAACAGGAAGAGACCTCCAGTTAGGAAACTTTTCCCTAAAGTGTGTGTTTGTGTGTAGGTCATGAAGGGTGTGTGGAGGTCCTGCTAGAACAGAAAGGCTGCCGCTGTATTGATGGGAACCCCTTTACCCCTCTGCACTGCGCTGTGTAAGTCACATTGATATCCCGGAGTCGTCTTTTTTGCTACTGGAATAGTGTTTTTCCTTCTTTTCAGAGGCCGATTTCAGTCGCTGAACTCCTGTTTGTGTTTTGTCTTTCAGAACCAATGATCACGAGCCATGTGCATCGCTGTTGCTGGAGGCGATGGGTTCAGACATCGCTGGCTGCTGCGATGCTAAGAGCAGGTAAGAAGCGAGTGTGGACATGTCGCCAGCGCAGCTCCCCCCACGCTGCCGAGCACCATTTGTTCTCATTCCATCCTCTCTCTTCCAGGACTCCTCTTCATGCTGCAGCATTTGCCGGTCATGTCGATTGTGTCCAGTTGCTCCTTTCCCACGATGCACCTGTGGATGTCGCAGAACAGTCGGGTCGCACTGCGCTGATGATGGCGGCTCAGAGGGGCAGGGTCGGGGCTCTTGGTACGGAGTTGTTTTACATGTGCTTATGTTCATAAAATGAGCAGTGATTTTGTTTTTTATGCATCCTCTGTATTCTGTCTCGTACAGAGGTGCTGTTGACCAGCGCCAGTGCCAACCTCAGTCTGACTGACAAGGACGGCAACACCGCCCTGCACCTGGCTTGCAGTAATGTACGTGTCTACAAGGGGGCACCACGCTCCAGCATTAGTGTTTGGCCCAGTTTTGTGGGACCTTTGTTTACCTGTTTTACTGAAAGGAAGGCTCACAGATGAGACCTCAGTGCTGTTTACTTATGCAGAACTCTGGAGAACTTTTTAACTTGAGTCCTTCTTCTTCCAGGGGAAGGAAGACTGTGTGTTGCTGATCCTCGAGAAGCTGTCTGACACTGTGCTCATTAATGCCACGAATGCAGCGCTGCAAACGTGAGTGTGAAAATACTTTGATACTTTGTAGATGTAGTACAAGAGTACTTGTGTAACCATGAGTTACATTATGTGTAACTTTCTGTCAGTCCTCTGCACCTGGCGGCTCGTAGCGGTCTGAAGCAGGTGGTCCAGGAGCTGCTGTCCAGAGGAGCCAACGTTCAGACGGTGGATGAGAACGGTACGGTAAACTCAGTACTTATCAGGGCCTGACTGCACACCTGCATGAATGTCTTCCTTCTCTCAGCATGGACTCAGCTTGTCTACTGAAAAGCTTTAATGCTGTTTTCCACGTTTGCTGCAGACAAAACAGTTTTAAAAAGGGTTACCACTCGTTGTAGAGTTAGGTGAGTTTTATAGAGTGCAGGAAGGGTTTTCAAGTGAACTTGGGGTTTGTTACATAGCAACAGACAGACAGAGATGGGTATAGAAAGCAGGCCTGTTACTGTTCGAGGTCGGCACAATAACTAGTCCACCCATATCTAGGAAAACGTAATGATCAAAGTAAATCTTCGATGGAGTGACATTTTTTTGGCTTTTATTTGATGGCAGGAAATGAAAGAAGAGCATGAATTGACATAAGATTTAGAAATTGATACTACAGGTGTATCTACTAAAAATCATAGACAAGTTCAAATCTGAGCTCTACGGGAAGGTCAGAGGCCAAGTTTTCTGAAAATCATGTGAATGCCATACATAGGACTGTGATACCACAGGTGTTTGATAGCAGGAGACTGGGGGCCAGTAGTTTTTATATGAAGCTGTGGAAACCCGGATTAAAGCTGTTCATGTGTTTTTGTGAGCTTTCTTTGTTTTGCTGGATATAGATCAATTTAAACCTGAAAAGTCCATAATTGATTAGCTTAGATCAGCAATACTGGATGAAGTACTTTTGTATATATTCAGTTACTGGAGTTTTAGATTAAGTTGTAACCCCATTTCTTTTCACTACTATGGGCTAAGGATTTGTTTTATCAAGGGTAATTGTAAGAACAAAAACAGTTAAGCTATAAAAACAAAAGATTCATTTTCACTGAATATAATAATACATGCTGTTCGTAGAGCTACACGTGGACAGCTTTTAGCTAATGTCACTGAAAAAACAGTGTCTCCATACCCTGAATGAATAAAATTGTATTTATATTAGGGCTGTGCGATATGACCAAAATCTCAAAACCAAAAAATGTTTAAAAACTCTTTAATATCAGAGAGAAACCCTGACAATCAGCTGACCCCCTATAAACAAGCACTTTGCGACAGTGGGAAGGAAGAACACTCTTTTAACAGGAAGAAACCTGTGGGAAAACAAGGCTCGGAAAGTTGTAATGAAACTTAAACTTTAAAATATAAAAACACTGAATACAAACCTCCTGTACAGTTCCTTCTGCTCATCCCCAACCAATCACAGCAGGTGGGTGCCTTCTCTGCCAGAGGTTACTTCCTGTTAAAAGGGAGTTTTTCCTCTCCACTGTTGCCAAGTGCTTGTTCATAAGGTTTTGTCTAATTATTGGGTTTTTCTTTCTGTCATGGTGGAGTCTTTATCTCACAATATAAAATGCCTTGAGGTGACTGTTGTGACTTGGTGCTGTATAAATACAATGGAAATGAAAAACCAACATCTTTTTCTGCAAGTAAACACATCATTTTTTGATATAAAGTCATATTTTTAATATGGGAGTCTGTTTTGCAGCTAGATGAGATGAGGTCCCCAGTTTTTATTTTATTTTGTGACTATACTGCGCTTTGTTTATCTATTGTCCACTTTGGTGTCGGGCTGCTGTTGTTGTCGCTGTCCCCTTCTGTCTGCTCACACTGTCAACTGGCTGAACTCTAACGGGATGCTGCTCCGATGCTGCTTTGCCTTCCTCCGCTTCCTCCTTGTCCACGTCTCGCTCTGTTCCTCCTTTTTGTCCGTTTTTGTCGCCCTCCCTCCCTCTGTCTCCGTTCTTTCTCTCTGTCGCTCTACCTCAGGTCTGACGCCTGCTCTGGCTTGTGCTCCTAGTAGAGAGGTGGCTGACTGTTTGGCTCTCATTCTGGCTACCATGATGCCTTTCTGCTCACCTTGCAGCTCTGGAGCTCCCTCCCCAGGGTCCTTGTTGAGGCATATACCCCACCAGGGGGGTAAAGGCCTATCCACTGGCCCTCGGGCGTCACGCAGCCCCAGGAACCCCTCGGGACCATCCAGCGAGGGAACCACAGAGAACGACTCAGAGGATTCCGAAACTTTCTGACCCCTCTGAACCGACTCTCTAGCTTCCTACCTCCAAGAGTGCACGTGAACGTCTTACCTCTCTCCTCGGTGAGGAATGATGCAGTGTTTGAGTGCACAACTGAGGGAGAAGGATAGAGACTTGGTCATTCATAGAGCCCATAAAAGTTCAATATTAAATAAATAACTTGTGGACAATAACTAATCGTAAGATGAGTTGGAATATTTTCTAATAGATGGTTAAATAATATTCATATTTCTCATGTCTTCTGTTTGTTTAATATTGAACCTTTGGTGCTCCACATGCAGTGTTTATATCTTCTGTTCCTCATGTTGGGAACATGAACACGAACTGAATCGCTCTGCTTTGATGCCAGGCTGGAGACCCTGCAGCTTCTTTTTTTTTTTTAATGCTCTTTTTTTAAAAGAAAAACCAAGATAGGAGCAGCTGCACTGCCCAGGGCTGACTGACTGGAGCCCAACGAGTCGCTCCGTGAACAAGAACTTGATCTGGACCAGTTTGGGTCTGCATGCTTGTGTTAATTTACACCACGGTTCATTCTTTCTACTCACGGGTGCTTAAATCCAAACGACCTCGGTACTTAGTCTCTGCACGGCACAGCAGCTCGCTGCGGAGACTCGTGTTGTCTTTTTAAAAGAAGCCATTTTTAACTGTTTGTACAAAACGAAGGAGACTATTAAGAAATCAGAGTGTAATTTTAAACTTTTTATGATTTTAGGCTTGTTGTACCAAATATTTGACTTCCACGAGTAAATAATGAACATGTGGCAAAAGGTCACATAAACAGGTACATAGAGCTTGTTTTTAACTGTTTAACAGCTGAAGCACAAATTTGTAGGTTTTTGTTTGGTTTGGATGACGTTTGGATAGAATGTGAATTCTGTGGCCTCTCCGAGAGACGTTCCTAGTTCAACTGTAGACCAGAATAGAGGATACGAAACACTAGGTACATCTCAATGACCTTAACATCGAGAAATCCAGATGGCACAGCCCTGACAAAAGATTCCTCAAGCCTGATTTAGAGTTCTGTGGTAAATCACGGTAGAGCTTACCATGTGTAACCCACATAAGTGGCCGTCAGCATTTATGCTTGTGCTGGTTTATTACATGTTAATTACCAAGTGGGTATGTCCACTGATGTTTCCAGCTGATGGAAACATCCTGGGTAAACATATTTGTCCCTGAAGTTTTTCCACTTCTTTCCACATTCCCTCACGTCAATAAATAAATAAATATCCCAAGTTTGTTTCAGTTCCACAGTCACATGTGTTTCAGCATAAATTTAAATGCTAATGCAAACACTCAGGCACAAAGCTGTGTTCAGAAGAGCTGAACAGTAATAATGACATTCTGTTAATGTTAAAAAAGTTAACGTTAGCCTCAAGAGGACATGGATACATGCTACGTTAGCATAATCCTGACAAATCTTTTGCTATGTTAGCCATTTTAGACGTTTCATGTTGAAGGATGCATTTATATCTGATTTAATTTTATATTAATCAAAGCGTGGTACATTTTATGGTAGTATAGTAGCTACACAGATAAGTCAAAATCCTAGTTCAATTAAAAAAAAGGATTGCATTAGCAGTGCTGTTAGCCTAAAGAAAATAGCTGCTACATTAGCACAAAGTGTTTTTACTATATTAGATCAAAGCTAGTGGTATCTTATGCTATTGTTCAGGACACTTTTCAAAACATTCAGTATTGTCATTATGTGGTGTAAAGTCAAGAACTAATGTATCACAGGTGGAGTTGTAGATATCAACCATGGGGGTTAGCATTGCTACTATGCTAAAACCAGCCTGGGGCTTCTTCCAGTTTAAAACCAGACTGAAGAGATAAAGACGCTTGTGTCCACCACTTGAATGAGTTCCTGTGGCCATGAAACAAAGGCTGTTCTCTTGATTCTTTGAAGCACCATCTGTACTTTTAATGGAGTGATGTGATAAGGTAATGGGGATGTACCTAGTGATGATTATAAGGTCTGTGGAGATCAGATTGAAAGATGAGATTATGACTAAGATTTATGCATTTTGTCCTCTGGCCTTGAATGGCCATCTGCACTGTTTTCACTCGATTTGCATCCCTACCTGTTGTGTTGTGCATGCTTGCACACTTCCAGGCAAAGCTTCTTTTTTTGTACTTTAATGTTTAATCGTAAATGCCCAGATTCTCAACAAAGACCAAATTTCTGAGGCAATGAAAAGCTCTGTTTAGCTCTGTTGTGCTATATATGATCCATTACACGATGATGGTAAAACAATGCCAGCACTTAAATGTAAATTAACACAGGGCTTTGACCACTTTCCTCACATTCCTCCCCACTGTTTGTCGCTCTGCCAGCTATGTGCCATTGTTTCGAATGTGTCCAGTGCCTTGATGAGTCTTTTTTTCTTTTATGACATATCCTGTGCTAGTAGTTGGAAAGGATGAGTTCACTATTATTGCAAAATAGGAAAAGTGTTGGTGGTACCGAGTGGTGCAGATTTTAGCCATGCTTTGAGAGATTTACCTCAGACCTCTACCAGCAGCAAGGTGGAGGACGTTTTATTGTTTGTGTAGGTTTTTCGCCTTTTGTACACACCAGACACTTTTAAAAGTGAGAAGAAAGTTCCAAACCAGCCATCAGTTATGAGGAGCTGCTAAATGGATTTGAAGGTCAAACTTGTAAAACCAGACTTGATGTGCTGCTGTGGTCATATGATGTGACTGAAAGCACAGTTACTGAATGGACCTATAAATATAAATCTTACTGCAAGAAGAAAGAAGGAATACTTGATTCATCGTTTAAGTTGGGAAATGACTGAAACTGTGAAAACAGCGAGCTCTTTCTCCTCTCTGTGGAGGTGCAAATCTTAAAACCTGGACAAACAAAAACTAGGCGTGGCTGAGCACCACCAGGTACCAACAGTTTTTTTTGAAATTGTGTGAAATGATTCTTTAATGCGTTGCGCTAAATATGAGTTGCTATGTTGTATTGAATGACAGTGTTTGACACAGTTTTGGTTGTTTTGTCTCCTTAAACCTCTGAGGTCTAAGTCATCATTTGTTTTTGAGTTTTTGGAAAAAATGTGAATTGTTTTTTGTGTTGTCAGTTGAACTAATTTTTTCTTTGGCCCCTGATTGCCAAGATTTTGGAGAACAAAGTAATAAAAAGGAAAAAAGTTAAAGGCTGGAGATTTAATCCCCCTAATTTTATTGTCAACAAATCCACTGCTCCATAAATCCTTTTGTTCCTCATGAAAAGTTCAATGATTTCCACTGAAATGTCAGGGAATTTTCCAAAAGAACTAAAAGTCTCTTTGGCTCTGGTTACCTGTGTGACTGTCAGTTTCCTTTTGTTTATAATATTTATCTCACCAACTGATTCCCATTGATGTGGATGACCATTAGACAGCAACAGCAATAAATTAAGGAGGTTTTACAGTCAGACCTCATACTCTCCTGCTAGATGATTAACTCGTAATACTCACCCAGTTGTATACTTTGGAAGGCTTTGATTTCCAAAGTATTCCGAGTGGAAGGTGTTTGTCTTCTGTTATTGTTACACGAGTGAGTCTTACTACAGCAAGATCGATTTCAACAACAGTCGAGGCCTGCGGCTCAGAGCAAGGACTTAGTTATCAGTCATTTGTTGACAATAAGAAGAAAAGATATCTCCAGCCGTGTGTGTGTGTG